AAAAATTGTCCTGGCTATTCCAAGCTCTATCATTGCAGTCAGCGGGTGTTGCAGTTGAACAGTCCACAAGTCGTCAAATAAAGCACGCGCATTCATAATAAACGTGCCTCACACGGCTCCTGGGGATGAATAAAGGCCCCCTGTAGCGAATCCATGCATTTTTGTAAGAAAAATATCCATATTTTAAACGTAATAAACACTTTTCTCTCATTTCCGCTGACTGTCATACACTGAAGCAGTTCCAGCGGATAACGCAGCACGTTGGTGTTGCGTGATTAGTGATGAATGCGGAGAGAGAACAAAACAAAACGCTGGTCATGAATTAGAAGTGGCTCCCCCCGACGGACACCTTGCTTCCTTTGCTCCTATAAACAAACTCGCGAGACTAGCAAATCTCAGAGGCACGTGCGCATACGTGCTGCGTCATCCGCCGGAACTGCTTCAGTGTATGACAGTCCAGGATCCAGTTGCAGAGTGAAGTCCAAGCATGAAGAGTTTACGGCTGAGTGTCTGTGGTATAATGGTGTTGAATGCTGAGAAGAAGTCATTGAACTGCATTCTGACTCTGTCTTTGTGTCTGAGAGGGCAAGGTTGAAGACACATGATATGGCATTGGCAGTTGTGCTTGTTAGCAAACTGTAAAAGGTCCAGTGTGGGTGGGATGATGGTCTTGATGTGAGTCATGACTAGCTGCTTGAAGCACTTCATGGTGATTGGTGTGAGTGCCACAGGGTAGTAGTCATAAAAGCAGGTTATTGATGATTTCTTTGGAATGGGGTGATGGTGGCTGTTTTGAAGCATGCTGGGACAACAGGCTGTTCTAGCGAGTGGTTAAAGCTCAGTGAATTCAGGCGTAGGAGTCCACCTTTGTAAGATGTCAGTTTGTGAAATTTAATCCTGGCCAGATATTCCACGGTCATCTCTTTTTGCTTGCCTAGATAAAGTGAAAACTTTAATCAAACTTTCTATTTCTGAATGAATCAAAAACTGAGGTTATGGACTTTGGTCCCCATGAAAACTCTGGGAGTAGAAGTATTGATCTGAACTACCTTGCTCTCTTTACTTCATCCTGCGTTAAGAATTTAGGTGTGTTTTGGGATTGTAGCCTCAAATTCGACAAACAAATAAATGTGGTGATTGGCTCGTTTTTTCAGTTACATCGTCTCTCCAAGATTAAACATTTTCTCTCTGAGAAAACCTTAGAGATTGCAATCCACGCGCTTACGTCTCGCCTGGACTACTGCAACTCTCTTTATTATGGTATGTCCAAGTCCTCTGTCGCTCGTCTCCAATTAGTGCAAAATTCTGCTGAAAAATTCCTCAAATGACGACGTAAATCTGACCATGTTACTCCAATTTTGAAATCACTACATTGGCTGCCTGTACATTTTAGAATTAAGTTCAAAATTCTTCTTTATGTTTTTAAATCTCTAAATAATCTGGCACCAAGTTATCTGGGATTTTCATTTCCGTGCCCCTGGGAGTACGGTCCCACATATGGGATTTAGAACGTTTGGTGACGTCACATAACTGCTAAATTCAAACTGTGCTTTTGCGCTTTAGCTGGCGCTGAGCCAGAGAGAGAGAAGTGCACTGCGCTTGTCATATTATCACAACTATGCAGTTTTCTTAACCACATAATGCATATTTTAGGTTTCAGACATTTCAATACACATAAGTACTAGTAAAACTACGTATTTAGAGTTTGTAAAATACACACATGAAGCAACAATAACAATTCAATTCAAATTTAATTTGCCTGTGTGTTTTATTCATATCAGATACACATGGTAAGTAACTATAAAGTTCACTCTATTCTTCACCCTTACCGGCCACTTACTTGTATTTCGGGAGAAATTCATGAATTTACGTGCTGTAAATCCGACTGACAGGACTCTGAACTGCGGCGCGAACAAACATGGCGGCGCCCATCTCACATTACAGATCACGATCAAGATAATTTATAAAGGTTTTTAAATGACAAAACACACTCATTTACACATATTTGTGAATCGGAATATCAGATTGTTCATGACATGGCAAGCAAGTTTGTGAATATATATATATATATTAAAAAAAGGAAAAACAAAATAAAAGCGATCCATCTGTCATACAGTGTTATTGTGGCCGTGGCGTGTCACGTGATAAGCATGACGTGAATATTTTAAACTCACCACTGAAAGGGTTAAGACTTTCCAGAGGCTGCTAGGCCAAATGGCAGCGGCCTCCTCAGTAGTGTCGCTCTCCAATTTTAGCTCAAAGCCCGGCTGTGTCAAAGCCATAGCCCCTTTGGATGGCACCCCGTCTGTACCAGTCAGGGGTGAACCATGGGACTGTCTCCTGTAGTCAAGTGGTCACGACAGATGCCTCCAACTTAGGTTGATGGCAACCATAAGTGATGATGGCAACCATAAGTGATGGCAGCCCAGTGTTCGGTTACTGGTCGGTCCAGGAATGGCATTGGCACATCAACTGACTGGAAATGAAGGCAGTTTTTATGGCACTGTGAGCTTTCCTGCCAGACATGAAGGGGTGCCACATCCTGGTCTGTTTGGAGAACATGATGGTGGTAGCCTATATAAACAATATAAATAAAGGGGGGTCTCCGGTTTAGCCTGCTGTACTACTTAGGATGCACCTCCTACTGTGGGCACAGCATAACCTCCACTCTCTGAGGGCAGTGAACATGCTGGGCAAACTGAACCAGGGGGCAGACTCCACTCCTTCAGATGATTTGGAGCATCTTCCAGCAAGCAGAAGTTCTCAAAAGAGAACTTTCACTGCCCAGCATTCTTTTCCAGGGAGAAGGATGTGCTAGCCCACGAGTGGCCACATTTGCACCTTTATGCCTTTCCCATTGTAGCTCAGCTCCCTCAGGTTGTCAGACGATTCAGGGAGGACAGACACTCTGTCCTTTTAGTGGACCTGCACTGGAGCTGCTGGATGCGGGCCACACCCCATCCACACTCAAGGTATATGTGTCCATGGTCAGGGCCCTCAGAGGCCCCCTGTTGGCCCCTTTCGCTCAAGACCTTTCTCCTGTTGGCTTTGGGGTTGGTCAAGTGAGTAGCTACAAATGCTCTCGGTGAACACTTCCTGCCTTGAGTTTGGGCCCAATGACTGTAAGGTACTTAAGGTGCTTTCCAACGTCTCGGTTACTAACATAACCTCGGTTCTCTGAGATAATGGGAATGAGCATTCCTTAGTTGGCCGTGCTACTGCACTTGCACCTGTGTTGATACTTGTCACTCTTCAGATTAAAGATTCTGATGAAATGACATTCAACACCGACTTATATAGGTGAATATCTCAGCCTCTTTTGACAGGCTGAATAGTCGTTTGTTCGTGCAGGTGCACAAACATTCAATGGCTAGTGGTTCTTGGCTAGTGATCAAAATATTTGTGCTTCAAACCACTGAAGTGTGGTAAACTTATGAAATGTGGAGAAATTTATATTGGAATACTAATTATACAGTTTGTACGTTAAAGGCATATGAAATCCCATTTGCCTTAAGGAACAGTCACATTTGACTGAAATACATGGTATATGTATATGGATTAACCGTTTTATAAAAGCAATAACCCCCGTGAAGCCGTGGTTTACAGTGAATTTATAACAGCTAAGGGGCGTTGTTAGGCATGACGCGAAGCTAAACCCCCTTAGCGGTTATAAATTCACTGTAAACCATGGCTTCACGGGGCTTACTGCTTTTATAAAACAGTTATTCCATATACATAGTAAGGTTTCACAAAATAAAACAGCAAATAAAGTGTAATGATATTAATAAAAACATTATTCTTCCACCAATCAATGTAATTCCTCAGAATCAGTTGTGGTTGCACCAAAGTGGTTGCCGAGCAACACACAAACGTAAACAAAGGTGTATGTTTGTGGAGTAATTTACAACAGCTTCGAAAGTAGCTCAGTCAATCAGAATCAAGGACCGGAACTATCCGTTTTATAAAGTGAATTTCTAACAGCTGTTATAAATTCACTGTAAACCACGGCTTCTTGGGGCTTATTGCTTTAAGGAGGCCTGTAGACTTTAACTATAGCTGTATATTGGGTACTCAGAAACACTCAAAACTAGACATTCAAATGAATTAAACTGAGAAACAGCTATGGGACTTAAATTGTACTGTTGATTGTACAATACAATGATACCCCCAGCTCTACCAGAGGATCGCGGGAGATCAAATAACCCATAGCCAACAGGAATAAGTTCATTACAAAAGAAAACCCTCCGACTGTTTGTGCCATGTTTCAACTAAACACAAAAGGTTGAGTTTTTCTTCCACAATGATGTCAGATCAAATCAGACTTGTTGTTGACAGACCGTAAATAAAAAAAGGCAGATTTCAACAGACACAGGGACTCTTCATATATATAGGCACAGACAAGTTGTGTTATAGTTAATCCCAGCAGCTCTAGACAACAGCCTCTGAGGTTTACGAAGAAATGTTGGATAGGAAACAACATCAGAGGATAAGTATGTAAAACTGTATTCCAACATCTCCGCAGATTGTATGGATATCATTTGCCAAATAATAGTTCCTCTTTAGTTTAAACAGCTGGTGAGTGTAGGCCTACCTTAAGGCCATGCAGGAGGAATCCACACCAACATCAGCCTCGCTGCAGTGTCAGCAGGGCAACAAGAGAGTTGGTTTCAGCAGCAAATACTCAAAAATAAAAACAATAACTCAATGGGTGAAGCGTAATTCCACAGCGCAATACAGTAAAACAACACAAAAAGGCTCCAAAACCGTTCACACAGAAACATCAATAGTTAAGACAAACAAACAAGAGGAATGGCAACCAAACCACTGCAGCGTTCCTCTTTGAGTAATCAGTGCTTTAGACACTATTTCATCTAATCTTTTATAATGTTTGTCAATGTCCTATCAGCAAAGCATAAAAACAAGGTAAAAAAGAGAAGAGGTCAAACAAACATTCAAGTTTTTTTTTTTATTCCTTTTTATTTATATCTTAATTTCCTGGCAAAAGATAGCTGAAAAACTGCAAATAAAAAAAAGGTTTAATGGTTGCATGTTTTCAGTGTTTTAGAAATAAATGTTCTCACAGCTTCTTTTTATTTGGCTTTTCTGTTTCAAAAACCCTCTGTGATGGACAACAGTTACAATGGTATTTGCTGTAAACAGTTTTGGAGTGGGTCTCATGTGGAACATCAGATTTTTTAGGAATCCAAGAAGCTCTCTTCGATCAAATCGTGATCATTGATGACAGTTTTCCATTTCCGGCTGGGAAAATGTTCAGCTGTTTAGCTGTAGATGTTTCCAAAACACCTACTTTTCAAACTCATCACAGGACGCTTATCTAATTTTCATGGAAATTTGTTAGCCTTGCCCCATAATGACTAACTTGCAATATTCGAAGTTCAAAACTTCTGGGGATCTTGGGAGAATATATCGAATGTGATCAGATTCTGGTCTTAGAGGGCACTATAACTTATCATATAACAAATCTCGACAGCTGTTGTCTGTCTTTCCATTTTTCTCATCTGCTTGTTGGCTTCATTGGTTTCATTGACCTGCTAAGACTTATTTTAGATGACAAACCTGGCATTTTAATAATGACTGAATATTAATGTTGAAACTGATAATCAAAAGTTGACTAACAATCAGAAGTTGGACTAGAAACTACAATAGCTTAGTGTGTTCATTCTGGAGAATATAAAACAAGAAAAAACAGGAATTGATCAATACCTTAAAACACGTGTGATTTTACAAGACCGGACAATCCATAGAGTTAAACAAATATATATATGAAAGCATTAAGCTCAAAGTTTAGCAATACATGTCTTCACATGAGACATGACAAACAGCTGCTCACATCCATTTTGAAATGATTACTGTATGCTGATTTATGATTGAACCAAATCATCTTTTGACCGTTCGCCGTGTCTCCTTGCCATTGCTCACAGAACCTGGACTTGGTGTCGACCTGTTTCCATTTCCACTGCTTGCTCGTCCACCCGGCTGTGGATTACTAGAGTTGCCAGAGCCTTGAGAATTCACCCCATTTCCATTGGGAGTGTCATTACCTTCAAAGAGTAAAACAATGTCTGTGGACCAGTATATCGAAAGGATATATTACATAGGTTTATATAGGATATTTAGGTTTATCAAAAAACTAGGAACCTTAAAGGGGTCATATGATGCTTTTTTAAAGATCATTATTTTGTGTATTTGGTGTAACAGAATATGTTGACATGCTTTAATGTTCAAAAAACACATTCTTTTTCAAATACTGTACATTATTGTAGGTCCTCTATGCCCCGCCTCTCTCAAACGCTTCGTTTTCTACAAAGTCCCTCCTTCCGACAAGCGCAGTCTGCTCTGATTGGCCAGCTGACCCAGTGCATTGTGATTGGCCGAACACCACAAGCACTCCTAGGAAATGTAACGCCACTTACCATAATCGCGAGCTTCATCTTTCAAAATAAATGTAAAGACAGAGCCCGAAAGGGGAACAGAGTCGCGTGACAGACAGTGATGAAGCTGGTATGTGTTTGCAGTACACAAGCCAAGGTTAAGACAGCTGACTCCACTTTGATGTGACCCTGTCTCTCTCTCTCTCTCTCACACACATGCGTGCGTGCGCGCACACACACACACACACACGCACACACACGATGCGCAAAACTCCGCATTTGAACAGTCAATAGCAAATACTTAAACTAATAACAAAACAGTAGCTGATTCAGAAGCGCCAGATTGTCATAGCAAAGTCAGAATTACCTCCTCTCCTAGGTTCACGAAACGGTCGTCCATAAAATGCATTGCTGTTCTGTTGTAAGTAATCTTAAAGATTCCTAAATGCATCTACTTTCGGAAGGCCAAATAAAGTGCTTTTGCTTTCGCCTAGAAACACACAGCGTCTCCCTGACATGGCTGCTTCAACACTAACTGCGGTTACTGAAACCACGCCTTCTTTCTTTGCATGCACATTTGGGCGGAATTATGCAAATCTTCCCACATAGTGAGGTAGCTATGTGGGGGCGTGTTAGAACGAGCCGTTTTAGGGGGGTGTGGCAGAGTCTTAACTTTGATAAAGAATATCTCTTTGGTTTTGAGACTTTAGTCTTTGCAACTTCAGGGATCTTATCTATGCACAATCAGCTTGTAACACACCAAAGATAAAAGAAAACTTGAAATCGCATCATATGACCGCTTTAAAGGATTTATAATTCTTACAAAAGTATAGGCTAGTGGTTCATGTTGCAGTATATAATCATACCTGCAGGTGCACCAGTGCTGCTGATCGTGTTGCTCTGGTCATTCAGTCCCTGATGGGTAACAAGAAAAAAGTGAATTACTACGACCAACCGTTTTAAATAATGATTTGATTCATTAAAAGGCAGAAATCCATCTAGACGTACCGTTTTATTCATCTGGGCCAAATATTCTGGATTTGGCTCACTAAAGTTTGGCACCTCTGAATACACCATGCAGAATCTTACAAATTGGATACAAAACGTTAATTCATCTAAAATAAAATATCTTGGGCAACATGAAGTTA